AAAAGTTCCTGCTGAACTTTTCAGACATGCTTGCAGTAACAATCTAAGCAGAAAGAATGTCCAAAAACTACCCAACTCTGTAACATGCTTTAACGAGCTGCGGGAAGGATTACAGGCTCTCACAAGTCTTTCCATGAGGTATGTGGCCTCAGGAACTGGGGCTAACAAGTGACCTCCACAGCATCTACCTATCAGCCCTCACAGAGACAGCCACTTTCCTCTCCAGCCTCAACTCCTCCAAGGGAGCCAGAATCTCACTGGCTCAGCAGCTGAGGTGCTGCGAGGGGATGCAGTGCCGACTTATGTGGACCACATCCTTTCTTCCTATCATCCACACCCCCAAATTTCAGGGAAAATGGCTTGTCAAAAGGAATCTTTCCCTCTTGGTAGGTAGCCCACAAAGATCCTTCATAAAGCCGCAGTTCTGCGGAGCCTTCGGTTGGTGCACACAGCCATGACTACGGAGTCCCAGGCACTGGGCTTGTGCTCTCCCACCAAGACAAAACCACACTCAACTACCAGACGAGATCTAGAAAAAACGAAGAAAGTCTTTTAAACAGAACAGAGAAGGTGAGGAACTAATATGAATGGGGCTAGGTTAGAAATTAAATTTTCTCCTTCCATCCCTCTGCCCTCATGTCCTCAAACCTCAAATTGTCCATTCCTTATGCTGGCCTTGTCTAAATTCTTCTGCAAAAAGCCAGGGCACAAACATTACGGGAATGCCATACACATTAGAAATATGTGCAAATACTCAGATCTGATGGGCTTTAGAGCAATTTCGCCTTGTGGAGGGCTGACAGAGGCAGCAGAGTTTATAAAATAGAGATATCATTTAAAGGCAATAATCCCTAATAATTTTAGAGACTGAGACACGTTAAAAAGTCTGAAATACTCCCCTCCACCTCCACTATAGCAAAGTCACAAGTAAATGTAACTTGGTTCTTGACAACTTCCTGAGAATTTAATGACACTACTTGAGATAAATATGGACACTAAATGTGCTACCAAACCTGCTTCAGAAAATAACAGCTGCAAAGACCAAGATATTAGAATTGCATTTATCTCTTAAGTGTCTTGTTTCACTTCCTGGCCTGTGGTTGACATACAGTAGGTGCTCAATAAGCATTTGTTGAACGAATAATAGAAAGTTATACATATAAAGTTCACTTTTTCTACTTCAATGTAGTATCATAGAGATAGGGGATGTGGTTCTTAAAGGGCAGTCCCCCAACCAGCAGCACTGTATCACCTAGGAACACGGTAAAAAAGCAAATCTCCCCTCTCCCCTACCTCACACAAAATTGTAAACTGTGGGATAGGCCAGTGATCTGTTTTAACAAGACTTCTGGTGACTCTGACACTTACAGATTGAGAACCAGTAGTCTAAAAAAGATCCTTTATCAAGGAGGTGTTTTTTCTACCTCCCATGCTAAAGGTAGGAATTCTATGCCTGAAATTCCTTTACCATCTCACTGAGAAAAGTCCTGAGAGTGAGGCTCCATGATGAGGGTTTATGGTGAATTCCATGGCACCCAGGCAAGAAGAAAAGATGGATCAGTTCAATGGGAACCAAAAAGAGCAGGGATTCAAAGCACCAGAGACTACCCATATGTGAAGGCCCAAGAGTGGCCTCCAAGTCTTGTGTGTGGCTTCCTGTAGTGGCATTGGGTGTGGGACAGGGAGGCCCAGTAGCCTTGCCTTTGTAGGGTCTGGTTTCCATGTGCTTTCCTGACAGGGATTATGTTGCCTTTGAGCCTCTGTTGTAGAAACACGCTCTCCCTGTCAAATGGGTGACATCTGAGCCCTTTATGATCACATTGGTTGCTGTTTGGCAAGCTGCTTGCATTGCCTTCCAAACACCGTCAGTCAGTGTGAGGTGATTCCGTAGTACAGGTCTAAGGCTCAGTCTTGCCTAATAGAGTGACCTAATTAAAAAAAAAGTTCTCCCCCTATCAATTTCAGCTTTCAGTATTATTATCAGGTGACCACTTGTCCCAGTTTGCCTGAGACAGTCCTGGTTTTAGCACTGTAAACCTACATTCTGGAAAAGCTTCAGTCCAGGGAAGATCGAGATGTTTGGTCACTCTAAGGACTAAGAGTTTCAAGGATGAAATACAGCTCAGGTTTGCTTTCTGATAGCTGAACTTCTGCCAAGATCAACAAAATTTAGTAATGAGGAAAGGGAAGGGAAATGATGAAGTGATGGCATGAGAGAAGCAATTGCATGAAAGGAAATGTGTATGATTTGCTCAGCAAATCTGAAGAGCTGAAACCAGATCACTAAGGCCCAATGCTAGGCACTCTAGGGGACAGGGGGTGGGGCTCTAACATCCCCCAACATTATGCATGGCCAACTGCCATCCCCTCAGGAGGCTGGTACAATACAGCTTGCTCCTCAGCGCCCTAGAAATGTTCCAGGTCCATCTTTAAAATGCAATGTAGTTAAAGTTACTCTCGGCAAGTGCAATGTTCCAGAATTATACAATTTATAAATACAATTTAAAACTTTTCTGTGGCTCAGTGACTCAGGATTTTCATTTCATTTCTGCTTCCATTATATTTCATCACAGCTTTGGATGCTGAAGAATTTGATTTGGGGACCTAGGCTAAACTGTGAGAAGAGAATTCAGAAATGAAAAGATATGACCCCAAAGAGTTTAAAATCCATTAGGTGAATGAAAATAACTAATACAAGGCAGGATGTGATTTGTACTAAAAGAAAAGTCAAAGGGCTCAGAGGGAGCCATTGGTGGACTCTGAAGAATGGTGAGGACTCTGAGACTGAACAGCAAAGGATGACAGGTGGGGCAGACAGAGCAGCATAAACAAAGTCACAGAGGAGAGAAAGAACACACTGGGCATGCTTGGAGTATAGAGAGTAGTCTGGTTATTCTTAAGCTGAGAATAAGAGAGTGAGATCAGTGGATGATAGAGCTAGAAAGGAAGATTAGGACGAGAACAGAGACAACCTTGTATGTCATGCCAAGAAACATAGAGTTGATGCTGAAACAATGGGGGGGGCCACTGAAGATTATGGAGGAGGAGAATGTTATGATCAGGGCATGCTTTAGAAAAACTCTTCAGATATCTGTGCTTGAGGAAATATGAAGAAGGAAAAAAATGGGAGCAGGAAAACCACTTAGAATACTGTTTATAACAGTATAAGGAGTAACGGTGATGGTGGCAGACTCAACGGAAAACCATCTAGACTGGAAGGAAGGAGCAATTGTGACAGAAAAGCGTGTATGAACCATTTACAGCAAATCAGATGTGTAACTTACAAGTTTGAATTTGGGGTATACTTTCCTAAAGATGCGGAAAGATGATTGTAATCCAACAAGTCTCTTTAGTAGTTAATTCAAACTGTAATAAATTTTTACTCTTCCTAAACTATCCCACCAAAACTTAATGCTTTACAATAAGAACTTTATATCTCTACACATTTTTCATACTTATAGATTAACTTTGCATTTATATAATATCAACAGTAATAACTATCACTGCAGCAGCTGACATTATAATGCACACTTAACTAAGAAACAAGACACCAAACTATGCCCTTTACTTCTACGAGCTCATTTAATCCTTAGTACAACCCTATGGCTATGAACTACCATTTCCCTCATTTCACATGTGTAGGTATTGAGGTAAGGAGACGTTACATAGTTTCATTAACACTACACAGGAAAGCAGAGATTTGAATTCATGCAAGTCTGACTCCAGAATCTGTCTTTTTGGCTATTTGACCATATATTAAATTTTTCTTTTTACATGTATTTTAAAGTAGAATGCCAAAAGAGAACAAAGACCAGATGGGAAAAATAGAAAACAAACAGCAAGATGATAGATATAAACCAAAATATATCAATAACCACATTAAATGTAAGCAGTCTAAACATCCCAATTAAAAGGTACAGATTATCTGTTTGGATAGAGAAGAGTGCCAACCAAATTCCTACACAATGGATTCTGATTCACCACACTATCTTTTCCTGAATTTTCCCTCTTTTTTTGCACTATTCCTACCCCTACCTCATTGTGGCCTGAACATTATCTGGCTGTGGGGAAAATCTTCTCTTGGACAGGTTTATCATTTTCTGCATAGCCATTTAAAAGATTCTGCTGTAATACACTAATCTTCTACTGTCTTACTCCAAGAGTTTAAGTTCCATATGGACTGAAGGTCCTAACACATTTATTATGCATTTCCCACTTCACAGTCTACAGCTTTTTCACCGAAAAACAGGCTAAGAAGAAATCTGAAGAGACCTAAGAAACTACTGCATATTTCAGAAAAACAAATGAGGTTGACCATAAGTATAATATCACTATTTTATGTTGAAAAGGTTTCTTTCTTTGGAATAGTCCACATTGTGCTTAGTATCTTCTAGTTCATGAATATTTCTTATGATCATGCTTCTATTTTATCTTCCAGAAGTCCTGATTATAGCCACACATAAGCCCCAAGCTGACATTTACCATATTCTGTAGTAAAGAATTTAGAAAAGGGGCCAAAGATGCTATGTCCCAAAGGAGTGTGGCAAGATATCTATATTCTTGCTGAAAGAATGGCTGTGTTGACAAAAGGGCAGAACTACTCTTTAAATCCATATTCCTTACCAAGCCCTAGATTTTGACCCTGAACTATCCGCTCCACTGAAAGCTGGTCAACTGTTTATCTTTCCTTTAAGAAAATAAAGTTTTAAAGCATTTCCCTAATTTGAAGTTCTTACAAGTAAAGGGAGAAGTATGGCCTTTGATATTCATTTTCTTCCTTCAAAAAACTAAACCAGTGGCACAGGTAGGTGGTCAACTGCTACCTTTAATACCAGTCTTGCTTCCAGCCTGTATAGCTTCCCAAATCTGAACTTCTTGCTCACATTAGGTCATATTACTACCTGAGTTTTATCTTCTACGCAGTCCTGCCTAAACAACTCATTAAAAAGTACAAAAGCTTGCAAATAGTAGAAGCAGCACATAATTTAAAATGTTCTTACCAGGTTTTGCAGGGGCTCCTCTGGGGGGACTCAGTCCTGGGCGGTCTGGAGCAGCATGGCAAGTCCGAGAAGACAGTGAACCAGTCCCAGAAACAGGGTGCTTCAGAAAGACCCATTAAAAGAAACATTATTTTTATCCTCTGATTAGGCAGCCTTAAGGACATGGCTTCCATATAACTAAAGGACCCTGAGCTCCAATTGTACTGGGGGAAAATCTAAGTATCTTGAGGTCATGTGGGTCCTTTCTTTGGGGCAATTAGTTGCAAAGTCTCAACACCTTTTGCTTCATTCATTTATTTCTTCCTCTGAACAAATCAACCTAGCCCTCTCCTGAATTATAGTCCATACAAAAACAGCTATGTGCTGATTTTCTCTTATACTTAATTTTTATTCCTAAGAAAGAAAAAAGAAAACCTATAGGAAGGTATTAATCTACTTAACATTTCTAAGTACATCATCCAAAGGATTTTGTTTTTTTAATCTTACATATGCTCAGCAGAGTTACTGGCAAAAACTGTACATTTTCTTCATTTCATCCTTTCAACATCAAATAGTAGGCAGCAAAAATTGGATCAGACTTCAAAGCCTGCTGTGGGCTCCAAGTCACAGAGAGACGCCTCCATTTCACATATTGAATTCGAGCAGGATATCAAAGTGCTACCAAAGAACCTCAGGTCCTTACTCAAAAAGAGGCTCTAACATCTGTAGAGAGTGGAGTGCACAGACAAATCACCTCAGGGAGCAGCCAGCATTTATTCTCAGCAGCAAATTTCTAGGCTTTTGATTCTATCTTCACTGTACCTCCCTGTCTCTCTGCTGAACCAAAATTCTTTAGCGAGCTGGGCTTTTGTCTCAAAGACTTCAAAATATCACTAACAGTTCATGTTTGGATGGCCCAACCAAGCAGCCACAGACAGGCTTCATGACCACGGACTTGGATGAGTCTGTAATAAGGATACACAGTTACTTCAGAATCAAGATGACCAGCTACCTTATTTGAATGTCCTGCGAAGACATTGTACCCTTTTGAAGAACTCTGGGCTTGTGAATGCCTAAAAATAAAAAAAATGATAATTTTTAGAACTCTGGAAAATGGTAATGAACAACAAAAAGAACTTACAAAGAGGAATATTTTCCTCCAAAAATGTATCAGAACATACTCTAAGCTTCCATTGTTTCCCATTCCAGTCCTTGGTTAAAAAGGACCTGGTCAACTTAAGGAAATGCATCCTACCTGGTGCTGCTCCTACACTCACAGTCAGCCTGATTTAAGAAACTGCCCTTTTTAAAGCTGTGTGATCCAATCTAGTTTACTATTGGGCATTCACAAACTTTAGCAAGAAGCCAACCAAGCTGATGCTAGGCTGTACTTCCCACCCAGCACATTAATCACATTGTTAAATAATTCAAGATAGATTCTGTAGTCAAATAAGTTTGGGAAATGCTGAGCTGTACATAGCCTAAGAGGCTTCCTTACTGCAGGAATGATCTTTTACAATCATAATGTGCATTTACGGATTTCTAAAGTTGGGGTGGGGGGATGCAGAGTTTTCTAAAATAAATTGATCAAAAATTTAAAAAACTGATAACCTATTAACATTTATTAAAACAGTAATGTTTCATGGAGCAAAGTTTGGAAAAGCCAATTGTGCTGTGTCCCAATTTCCAGAAATTAGAACACATTGGATAAAAATGTGATAATTATAACTCACTGATAAAACAGGATTTTACAATCCCTGTCAGATGGAACCCAGGAGAGTGGAAAGCACTGACCAGGGGAAGGGAAGTCTGGGTTTTAACTCCTGCCTCAAGATCCTTGGTCTCTCTCTCTTTCTCTGTCTCTCCACACACAAACATGACTGGGCAAACTTTTCTAGTATTCTGGGTTCTAGTTTTCCTCATCTATAAAATGAGGGGATTGAAATAAATTATTCCTCAGGCCTCTTCTAGTTCTACATTTAAAAAATCTTATTCTTTATTTCAACTGAAAAATTCATTTTCTGAAATGGTATTACCTTCAAAATGCATCATATATATATAGATTATATGCAATATACTCATTTGAGAAGTATCACATCAGTACCTGGGAAGAGGGGACTGTAATGATATATTTATTTGTGTGAATATTTGTTTATCATGTGTTTCCCACTATGGAATGTAAGTTCCAAGAAAGCAGGGACTGGATCTGCTTTATTCTGTACTTTATACTAGCACCTAATTCTGCACCTGGTACACTGTAAGTGCTCAATATGTATTTGACAAGTTGAATAAACAAAAGCATGACTAGTGGACCCCCAAAATGTGGGCCATGAAGATCAGTAATACCCTCTGCATTAAAATTAAATTAATTAGCATTTATACAGCACTTCATATTTTATAAAATGCTTCTACATAAATAATGAGAATTTCTCAACCATTTGAACTAAGTGGTTTAACTGTCCCAATTATACAGATGAAGAAATCAGCTCAGAGAGGGTAAGGGATTTGCCCAGGGATCATGGCACATACCTGGTAGAGCTAAGACACTTAACCCTGTTAGTCTGACTCCAAATCCTCTGCTCTTCCTCTGAACAATGACACCCCTTGTGCCTTGGGTCTCTGTGCATTGGCCCAAGAACTCATTCCTGTCAGCTTAGGCAAGTCCCAGTGGCTGTGGGACACCTATAGGACAGGTGGATTCAGGTCCTCTCAGAGTCCTGGTGGGCTTTGGAGAAAATCTGAGAAGAGTTTGGCTGCTGAATTACCATGGGGTCTCCAACTTCTGCCTTTCCTGCCCCAACAAGGATATATAACTTGTTAAGAACTCCTCAAGCTTGCAAGGCTTTTCAGGATCCAAAGGCAAGTGCAGACACATTCCACCTCTTCACTGGGATCAGCTCATCAGTTTGATTACTTCCTCACTAAAGCCTCTGAAGAATCCAAGGCATCTCAATATAATTTTTACATGTCTTATTTGGTTTCTAAAAGGCAGAGGCAGGATGAGTAGTGTACATAGGCACTTGTACTTGATTTAACAAAGTTAAGCAGGTTTCTCTCCTAAGAGGATTTCCAGAAACTTTAAATAATATGCACAATGGAACCTCAAGAATGGAAAAGAATAGGCAGCATCTCCTAGATGTAATCTTACCAATGGAACCCATCTCCCCTGAAGCATGTCAAGGGCCCTGGTTCTTATAACACGCCTTAGCAAACACTAATCTTAGCAGCCTTTACTTGAAACAAATTCCAGTTTGCCTTAAAAAATGGTATAAGTCAGGTTTCTTCAAAAGTCTAACAGCCTCAACTGCTCTGCAGCAATTTTATCAGATACATTGTCATATGCTCCAGGGACCTGAGACTGGAAGCAAGTGGATGATGTTTTGCAAGCTGTCAGTTCCAAAATGAGGAAAAGCACATTCACAAAAATCAGCCAATGCTTAGTGCCTGCACACACGTCACCAGGCCACAGACAAAGCATGGGTACAGGGTTATCTCATCTACTATTTCTAACAACCATACTCATTTTACAGGTGAGGGATTAAGGATCCCTCAGGATCTAGAAGCTTAATGACTTGCTTCATAATTTGTCATAACTAGTAAACAGTGCAGCATAAAACCTGCTGACATAGAAAAGGAGATTCCAAAGGGGAATTACTGACCCAGATAAGAATTATCAATTGCTGATAAAACTTTATAGACAAAAGGTTGATGGTGAATAGAACATTCATATGGTGCCAGAATGCCACCACACAGATTTCTTCTGCAGGTCACAAAGGGAGCAGGGTAACTGCATATTGGAGAAATCAGGTTACCAGCTCAATTAGTGCCAGTCTTAGCACCACTAATGCCTGGACGACGTTGCCTTGTGATGGGAGGCAATATAAAGTATTTGGCATCACCTAAGATATTTCTATTTTTTTCTTTTGGTCAAAAACATTTAACTTAATCCAACCAAAGCTTTAGATATACCAAAACACAGGGTATAGAGGGAAAAGCTAAGACCGAAAAGAATCAAGCAGACACATATAGATGGTGAGTTATTTTATAGGATAATTGGTTCATTAAGTCAGTTTCATGAAAAAAGGGAATACTGTATATCTATAGAGATTTAGGGACCTAACAACTTGATATAATGTCCTAGATTGGATCTTGGCTTGGACAAATCATTGTAAAGGACAATTCTTTGAATAATTGGGGGATGTTGACTATGGGTTAGTATTAGACGATATTAAGGGATTACTCTTCTTAAAGCATGATAGTATTTTGTACCTGTAGGAAAATTTTTTAAAAATAATACTGTTCTCAGCCTCTGCTAGGAATCACATGACAGAAGCCGTAAACTTGGTTATCAAAGAGTGGTGAATAGGAGGTAGTTGTCTCTCTAGATCTGATTCACTGCGTATTTCTAGGGCTCCTCTAGCCTCTCAGAAGCCATAACTAAAGTCTCAAGCAGACCGCCTTCCAGGGCTTGGCCACTCTCCTACTTTACTGCAGTCAGTGCATTGAATTGTGGGTTCTTGGGAAGATGGAAACTCTGTCACTACTGAGAATCCTTCTGCTGGGCATTTGCCCTGAAAAAGCCCCCCAGACAAAACTCACATCGAATTCTCTTTTCTTAAACCCCAATCCCAGTGTGACCAGATGAGAGGCAGCGTGAAGGCTGGCTCCTGAGCCCATGGGGCCTGAGAATGCCCCAGCATCTCTCTTCTGCAGCACAGATCCACAAGGCCAGCTGGCTTGGTCATGCTGGGCTGGTGGCACTAGGTGAAGTCACCTTGGTCCAAAACTAGGGCTAAGCTTTGCAGCCTCCAAAAGTCAGTTTGCTAGTTCATTGAGGGGTAATGATTTTGGGGGGGGGGAGCTGAGTTGCACTAACCAAACTTAGAAGAGTCATACTTGAAAAGTAGAATGCCAGTGTGTGATTTTGTAGTAAGTACCAAAATCTGGACTATACTTTCCCTCTCACTAGTTGGCTGATAAACTCTGGAAACCAAATTACAACTTAGAATTAAAACAAAGGAAGCAGGGGGCTCTTTGGGGATCTGACCAATCAGGCTGGTCCTGTAACTGGTCTTTTTCTCCTTTAGGGTTAGAATCAGTAACTTTTTTCTTGAACAGGAATAGAGACATGCTGACTACCCTTTGACTCTCCATTTTCTAATCTTCATTTAAATTTCTTTGTGTGGTTTTTATTAACTTTCATAAAATTTGTAAGACTGTGCCTTATCTTTGATCAACTGTAATTCAGAATGGCTTCTAGACAAACTGAGAAACCCATTAGTCGTTCTTGAATGAAACCTATTAGTCATTCACTTGAAAGCATATTCTAATTTCAAAATGGGCTAGGCTGCAGCTAATTCATTGTGGGTTGATTTTTGTTAGCTTCCTGCCGTCTCCAGATTTGGGAGTAGTTCTCATGGTAAACGCCAGTCTTACTTGGTAGCCCTGGGAGAAAGGCTAATCAGCATAAGCAAGTAAATTTGTTCCTGCCTCTTTAATACCTCAGAGAAAAAAAAAATTTCTGTACATGGAGCTTTTATTAAGAAGAGGTCAATCTGTTTTCCCCAAGAAGCAGCAGCCAATCCACCCTGCAAAAAATATGCTCAGACCAAGACACTTTAACACAGTAGGAGCCCCATGAATCTTGAGGGAGGCAAGTTTCAGACAAATAAGTCATACAACTTTCCTTCTGGAAGTTATTACCATGAAAGATAATAGAAAACATAAACATCTTCAGAAATGGTTTCAATAAGTTCAAGTTCTGAAGGTAAATTAAGACATTTAAGGAATGACATCAGAGAAGAGGACATGGCCCTTTGTAAAAGATCCGTGCTAACCTGAGCGCTAACAGGTTTCCATGTGAACTGGTCAGAGGTCGAACCCCAACTGGAGATTCAAACATTCTCATTTAGTTCCTACAAGGAATCTGAACAGTCTAAGGGCTGAGGGTATAAATGTGGAACACCCAGATCTGAATCTACCCACATTGTCACTACATATCAATTCTTTCCTGATTTACATCAGCTAGATGTCCTTGCATGTTCTTCTTACTGCTTAGATTTATTTAAATAAC